CAGAAGAAGCCTTGATCTGTCTGAAGTCAAGGTCCCATCGTTTCAAAAATGTAATTTAAAAGTAAATCCAGTCTCATTATAACTTTAAACTCCATATCTGCTTTTCCAGAGCAGAAAGCTAGGTAGTCATAGCAACAGTGTCTATGGGTGGTGGGGCTAAGCAAACAGTGTTTGGGTCACCCATTAAATCCACATCTTTTCACATTAAAGCTTCACGGTGCTGCAAGCCACTGGATCAGGTTGGCTCGTCTGATCTCAACTAACTCACCTGCATGGCTAAAGCTACCGTTCAAAGGAGCTGATCCCAAATCTGAAAACTCTAAAGACCCAATAAGTCACCTTTGTACCATGCTGCGTCCTGCCTGACGCTGACCAGCATGACCAACATCAGCATCCAGCCTCCATCAACAGTAAAATAACAGCCAGCCAGAATCTGCAGATAAACCTAATAACAATGCCTTTTATCTGTAAACACAATCACATACTGTATATCAAAACAATTTCAAAAAACAGGTGAAGGCTTTATGGTATTGACACATTCATTTATGAGAGGCTGTAATGATAAACAGTGAAACATGCTGCATTGATGGCTATCGCCCATTCACGTTACATAATGTAGACTTTATCATCACTATAGCCACTGTGACCTTTGAACCTCCTCTCTCTGCCATGATGCACATTTGCAAATGGATGACTTGGCCCCGGTTTCCTCCCTCTGCAAAATTGTCTGCATTTCAATCAGGACTCACTTTGATGATATTTTTTTCCCCCTGTTATTTATTTATTTATTTTTGATCCATTCAATCTTTGAAATGTGTTTGAAATGAATATCCGTCTTTGTTACTTTGATCTAGTCTCTCTGGAGTATTGGCCATTGTTACGGGCTACAGTGCCTCCATTCACAGTTATACACTCCTGTGAGTAGCCAAGCCTTGATGAGGACTCGAGTGATTGCCTGACAAAGCCCCACACACACACACACACACACACACACACACACACACACACCCTTCTGTTACTATATTTGTGGGGACCTGTCATTGAAATAATGCATTCTCTAGCCCCTTACACTAACCTTACCCATCACAACTAAAGCCGCATTCCCACCACTCACTTTCAGTATATTAATGTGGAATCCTCGAATTGCCCACAATGCTCAGGGAAGGGGGCGGCAGTAGCTCAGTGTGTAGGGACTTGGCTTGGGAACCAGAGGGTCACCGTTTCAAGTCCCACAGACCACAGTATGGAATGTGGACTGGTAGCTGGAGAGGTGCCAGTTTCACCTCCTGTTCACTGCCGATGTGCCCTTGAGCAAGGCACCCAACCCCTAACTGCTCCCCAGGCGCCTAAGCTGCTCACTTCTCCTAATGTATATACTGTAGGATGGACCAAATGCACAGGTCAAGTTTCATTTTATATTCCTTGAAAATTACAATAAAAAAACGTATTACTATCTTATTAGAACACATGCTCAGCTGCTGCCCAAAAGCTCTTGGGCAGGTCCTGGTGTCACGACCAGGTTCTGAAACCTATAGCAGAAACAATCAGCATGGTATTCAGTGATGGCAGATGAGCTCATCCCACCACCCAGATGATCACCTTCGTAAATTTGGAGTACAGCTGCCAAGGCCCAAAGCAGCGAAGGTCCCATTAGGAAATTTGGCGACAGCACAAGACTGCCAGCTTTCTGTGTACCTTGAGAAACAGCTCAAGTTCCCAGACATCCTCCTAGTCTCAGAGGCAACAAAAACACATAGTTATAATGGACCTGACTTTGTTGTGGGTGGACCTTCTGGTGGAGGCCCATGAAAGGAAGAAAGCAAAGTATGGAGAGCTTGCCATTGACTTCCAGGGCTGGAAGGCAAGGTGCATGTCCATTGATGGCTGCAGAAGTTCTGTGGGACAATCATTTTTCAAAGCCTAGGTTGAACTAGGCATCACGAGAAATGTGAGGATAAAACCAGTCAAGAACATCACAGAGGCAGTGGAGAATGCCTTGAGATGGCTCTGGATTAGGAACGGAGGTCAATGGGGAGCAGCAAATACCACAACCTGTGTTCAAGTCATGGTCTGATCAACCAAACCTGAAACACCCAGTGACCCCAGGTTACATCACTAAGGATGTGTTCAGAAGCATCAAGTGATGTATTCTATCAATTATATGTAGGCAGGGTTGGGGCTAACCACCAGCTTCCAGCTGTTGGGAAACAAAAGACGAGACTTTTCTTGATGATACACTGTACATTTACAGCCAGACTGACAACTTACTGCTAACCTTTTCCCCTGCCCCACTCCTTTTAAGTCATTTTTTTGTCTCTCTCATTCGCTCCTCACTGCGCACACCCAGTGTGTAGTTGTTTATTAGCCGACAACAAAGACAAGCTTTGTTTGAGAAAGAGCTTCAGGTAGCAGGACAAAAGACTGCTGAATAAACAGGAGAGGGTGGGAAATCCTACACCAGAGCCTTAAGCCTCTGTGTCAGTGATTTCTGAAGAACCTTTGTGAAGCTCAGTGTGGTCAGCTCCGGCCTTCGCTATCTTGGCAGTCCTGACTCTGCAAAATGGTGAAAGACGTGGAATATTTAACATTTGACTTACTATTGTTAATATATAATCAAACAAGGCCTGTCTGAATTTAGTTTGCATTCTTACACATGCATACAAACTTGATGAAAAAAGTTGTTCACCAGTGACGTTGTCTGAGCTGAGCTGTATAAATGTAAAATCATGTGCCATTTGTACATCAGAGAGAAGTTAACATTTACCACAAACAGATAGAAAAGCCAGATGAATCAGTCAGCAGCTTTCAGCGCTGATGACGCCAAGTCCTCTCATGCACACACATATACACACCCACTCATTCACACTCCTTCCAGCAAGACAAGCACTAACCCAGAAACTCATACACGCACGCACCGTGGCTTGTTATCACGTAATCATACACATCTGTTAGTCGTTGCAGAGCAGACCTGCTATACTCTTGGTATTTTGTTGCATCCGAATTTGTTTGTGCTGCTGTCAGGGCCCTCTCATTTGTAAAGCAAATGGTCTTCAAAGACGCTGATGAGCAGTGTGATGAACGAGATTGTCCCCCGAAATTGCTGAGTGATCAAATATGCCAGAAGCACATACGTTGTGTGCGTGGTGGTGGTGGGGGAAGGGGTGTCATCCGCTGTGCTAAGAGGAGACAGTGTTAAACAAATGAACCATGATAGTTTATGGCCTAATCCAGTCCAAAGCCAATAAAGATTTTATTATAAAAGAGACATGTTTTTCTACTGCCATATATCTGAAATGTATTTATTTATGAATATGTGATTAGAATTACAGCTGTACTATATCAGACTGATATCGGCTCTTTCATTAAGTGGAGCTAGTATCCTATGATGGATATGATGCAGGCTGATTGATTACATTTTAATTCTAGCATTAATCAGGAGCAGACTGCTTGTCTATCCGAACACCTTAACCTAATGCAGCACTGGGATGTGATTAAGTATGTACGAATATACATTAGGTGAGCAAGCCTCAACGTTTAATAAATGCTGTTCAACTAATAAGTGCACACCAAGTGAAGAGAATATTTTATACACTGCATCCAAGTAGATATTAATTCAATCTTTTTTTTAAATTAATAAATCCTTAAACAGACCACGCCACCAATGTTACACATCAAGCCTTATCAAATCTGTGAAAATAACCCTGATGATGTCATAATGATTACATCTTTAGGGTCATGTCAGCACGCACTTGGAAACTACAAATATCAAAAAAGATAACGTTAAAAGACTAGGTTAGTATCCCACAATCCCCCAAAAAACAAAACAAAAAACAAAACACAAAGGGCTCCAGCAAAACAATACAGGTTTGTCCGGCCAAAAAGTTAGATGCAATGCAACATAATGTCGTCTGCTGATGCTCTGCATTGGCCTTTGCCAATTGCTTTGTAGTATGAATGGTGTAATTGTAATTGTTCACCTCAAAGTCATTGAGGAGGATGAAAAACATTGTCACCATGACAGCTTTATAGAGTTGTACAACTGCTTTTATAAATTCTGTGTGTGCATGTTGATTGTTAGAGACGAAAAACATCTAAGTTCAAAGGTCCGCTTGCAAATGAATGGAACTCCCGTCAATGGCTGCACTGTCAGAAGATAAAACATAACATATATAACCACACTTTACTTACATTTGTCACACATTTGTCTTCCAGTCCCAAACATGTCATTATTCTTCCTTTTAATTTATTCATCTTCATTTCCTTCTTAGACAAATATGTGCCATTCTATCAATAGAAATATACCCAATGTCACAGTCTGCCTTCCTCCTCACCTGTTCGCCTCAGCCATCTCAGTACTTTTACACATACCTGCCCCTGCTCCACGTTGCCAGTCAGCCACGCCTTCTCATCAGCCACTCTGCTCACCTGTGCACACAAGAAGCTCCTGATCACCAATCACGCCGGTTCATATTCTGCTCCTCACCATTCATTCGTTGCCAGATTGTTCTTTGTACTCATGCAAGACCTTCCAGCGTTGTTAGGACTGCTCTCCTGGTTTCAAAACTGCCTGCTTCTGACCATCCCGCCTCAGGTCATTAGTGACTGCTTAAGTGTGCTGCATTTGTGTCTTAAACTGACTCGTTACACCAAAAGCTGCAGACTGACCCGGTCACATTCAGTCATGCAGCCATGACTAAAACATTTTTTGTTAAAATTACAACTTCCCATGAGAAAGAGCAAACAAATTAAGCACAGCGTTAGTTCAGGCAGGCCACAAAGTGGTCAAGGAGGTCCCAGAACAGAGCCATACCACCAAATGTAACGTTCTGCTTTGGCAGTCAGTTATTCTGATAAAATTCAATTCAATTCAATTAAATTTTATTTGTATAGCGCCAATTCATAACAGAAGTTATCTCAGGACACTTTTCAAATAGAGCAGGTCTAGACCGAACTCTTTAACATTAATTACAGAGACCCAACAGTACCACCATGAGCAAGACCTTGGCGACAAGGGCAAGGAAAAACTGCCTGTTAAAAGGCAGAAACCTAGGACAGATCCTCCGGCTCTAGGTGGGTGGTCATCTGTCTCGACCAGTTGGGGTGAGAGAGAGAGAGAGAGAGAGAGAGAGCGAGGCAGAGAGAGAGAGAGCGAGAGACAGACAGACAGACAGGTGCACAGCAACAACAGTATTGGCAATGGCAGTCAAGCAGGACCATGGCAGGAGGCTCCACCAGGATCCATGAGAACCTGCGAGACGAGAAAGCACAAGAACTCCGGGGAAGAAGTGAAGTTAGTAACATGCATTAATGGAACATGAATGAGTGCAGAAAGAGAGAGGAAGAGAGTAGCTCAGTGCACCATGGGAAATCCCCCGATAGTCTAGGCCTATAGCAGCATAACTAAGGGATGGTTCAGGACTCACCTGATCCAGCCCTAACTATAAGCTTTATCAAAGAGGAATGTCTTAAGCCTACTCTTGAATGTGGTGAGGGTGTCTGCCTCCCGAACCACAACTGGAAGCTGGTTCCACAGGAGAGGAGCTTGGTAACTGAAGGCTCTGGCTCCTGTTCTACTTTTAGAGTAGAAGTGGTCCTGATTGAAACAGGACATGTGAAAAAGGAAATTGAGCTACTGCTAAACAACACAATCAAAACAAATTTCACTGAGGATGAAGTAATTAACCCTTTAGGCGCCGGTTTTTATTTTGAAAAATACTAGATTTTGACATCTAAATTTCAGGAGGCTCTGGCTTGAAAGTGCTTTGAGATAGAGACAAAGTGTAAATGAGACAAATATTGAGAATGACCTAAAGTTTATCTAGGGAGTAAATTTCCCCATCTAATTTGCATATTATGACGTCATGTGTCGACGGCCATATTGGATTATATAATTTCCATGAAATACCTGATATTTTGAAAGAGAGTTGAACTTATTTCATCAGATTCACCCCCCTCCATCTATTTTTTATGTTGTCCACATATCAAATGAACAGGGAAAAGTAAATTGTAAGCCAACAGTCGTAAACTAGAACTATTACTACCACAAAACTCACGTAAACAGTAGGCGTTTTTTATGATTTTTTTTTTTTACCCACTACCACCCCACCTATTGGAGGACACTTTCTTTTCTTTTTTATTCTCTTTTTCATTATTATTATTATTATTATTATTATTATTATTATATGATAATAATAATAACAGTAGGCGTCTTTTAGCTGCAGAGGCCTAATCTGATCTATCCAGATAAAAGTTTGTAGTATTTGTAGAGTGTGGAACCTCTCATTGCAAGGCACAGTACAGAGACAATATGAAAAATATTGAGACCCCACCACATAGCCTAACAAATGGACAGGTACACATCTGCATCGGATGGCTGCGCCACTGCCGCGCATGGACCAGCGCGGTAGAAAGAGTGAACACTAACGCTGGTCCCAGCGCTATTCTTACCACCCCCGCTACTTCTACCACATCCATTAGCTCCCTTACTGATACTACGAGTTTGTGTAGTACTCCCACCTATGTTAGGCAAAGGGTCGTGTGTTTGTGCTTGTGTGTCTTCCTCGCTCTGCCCGGCAGCGCCGTGCGAAGACGCACCGTGCCTATCACGCACACCTAACATAGGTGGGAGTACTACACGAACTCGTAGTATCAGTAGGGGAGCTAATGGATGTGGTAGAAGTAGCGGGGGTGGTAAGAATAGCGCTGGGACCAGCGTTAGTGTTCACTCTTTCTACCGCGCCGGTGACGGTGCGTCCATGCGCGACAGTGGCGCAGCCATCCGATGCGGATGTGTACCTGTCCATTTGTTAGCTATGTGGTGGGGTCTCAATATTGTTCATATTGTCTCTGTACTGTGCCTTGCAATGAGAGGTTCCACACTCGCAGACGCCTACTGTTATTATTATTATCATATTATAATGATAATAATAATGACGACGATGATAATAATAATAATAATAATAATAATAATGAAGAAGAGAATAAAAAAGAAAAGAAAAAGTGTCCTCCAATAGGGGGGGTGGTAGTGGGTAAAAAATCATAAAAAACACTTTGTCTCTATCTCAAACCACTTTAGAGCCAGAGCCTCCTGAAATTTAGATGTCAAAATCTAGTATTTTTCAAAATAAAACCTGGCGCCTAAAGGGTTAACATTGCCATTACAGGCCCGATTTAGTTAGAGCCTTGTTGCTAAACTGCAACTGTAATTGTTGTCCATTGATTTGGACAAAACTGGTAAACTCAAACAATTCCACCTTCAATATTGACTTCACTTTCACAATTGCTGTAGTAATCCCACCTTAAAAATATATTAAAATTGAAAGTAACTTGTACTTTACTTTTACTTGAATGGGTTTCTAAAATGGTAGACTTTCACTTCAATACAGATTTTCAGCACTCAACCCACAACTGCTGAGAACCATAAATGTCTGGATCAAATTCCAAGGCTATTCATTCAACAGCTTCTTAGATATTCCAGTGTGAACCAAAGTGGTGCATTGACCAACCGGTGTTACCAACCCTAGAGCATTCCCTAGCATGGCTGAAAGAGCAAAGACACTCTAATTTAATTGCATAGCAGTACGCTGCACATTGACTACTCAATATTAGTAATTGTTGTGCATAAAAATAGAATAAAACAACTGAGTGGTCACCAGCACAAGCTAATATACATTTGGTTCACCAACACTTCCTGTTATGTATTTTTGCTCTTCTGGAAGACGAGACAAGAACAGCATGTGGACAAATGTAAGCATTTCCTTTTTTTTTTTTTTTTTTTTCCATTCTGACATCCCATCCTTATGTCTACCTTTTTCTTTCCCCAGTTATCTTTCCTACCTGTCAGCTACCTATCTGTCTTTGTCCTCTAGACATCTATCCATCCATCCCTATCTTCCCTGCCCTCCCTCAGAATCTTCTTCATCCCTGACAGCAGTGATCGTATATGACACACCTCCTCTAAATCATATTTTAGACTGAGTCTGTCTTCTTATCCCCCATGTCAGTGCAGCAGAGAGAACACTTGCAGGTGGATGACATGTGACTAAAGGTCATGGTGTAGGATATAAAGCCAGTAGGGAGCGGTGGATTACAGTGCTGAGGTGTAGACACTGTTTCCACAATCCTTTAGGTTCAAAACTTCCTTATGACCTTTGGAAGATACCGGTCTGTGTTTATCCTGCATGACATGCACCTTAGCCCACTGATCAACCACAACCAGTTATGTGCTCAGACAGTTTTTAAGGTATATTGAGGTGTATTATGGTTGCTGGCAGGCTTTTAATTTCGGACATCTCCATTATGGGTCGGGTGTCACTGACAGTGGGTTAACAGCAAGTCAGAATGGACTTGTGTCTGTACTTTTATTATTAGATCTTAGTGCTGAATTTGACACCATTGACCATCATATTCTATTACAGAGACTTGAGAATCTAATTGGCATTAAAGGAACCGCACTAAGCTGGTTTAAGACCTATTTATCAGATCGTTCTCAGTTTGTACATGTTAACCCTGAATCCTCCATAAACACCAAAGTTAGTCATGGAGTTCCACCATATTCTGGGCTTGAACCAATTCTATTAACCTAATATATGCTTACCTCAGGCAACATTAGGAATCACTCCATTAACTTTCATTGTTATCCAGATGATACCCAGTTATATCTATCAATCACGTGTCCTGAGATAACTTCTGTTATGAATTGGCGCTATACAAATAAAATTGAAATTGATGAAATTAATCAATTATCTAAAAAACACACGCCTGCCTTAAGGACATAAAAACCTGCATGAACTGCAATTTTCTGATTTTAAACTCAGACAAAACTGAAGTTCTTGTACTTGGCCCAAAACACCTCCGAAAATCACTGTCTAAAGATATAGTTACTCCAGATGGTATTACCTTGGCTTCTAGCACCACCGTCAGGAATCTTGGCATTATCTTTCATCAGGATATGTCCTTTAACTCCCACATGAAGCAGACCTCTAGGACTGCCTTCTTTCATTTACGTAATATTACAAAATTAGACACATCCTGTCACAGACAGATGCAGAAAAACTAATCCATGCATTTGTTACTTCTAGGCTGGATTACTGCAACTCTTTATTATCAGGTTGATAAATAAATAATTAATAATAAATCCATTAAGACGCTCCAATTAATTCAGAATGCTACAGCACGAGTACTGACAGGAACTAGGAAAAGAGATCACATATCTCCTGTACTAGCTTCTCTGCACTGGCTCCCTGTAAAATTCAGAATAAAATTTTAAATCCTCCTCCTCACCTACAAAGCTCTTCGTGGTCAGGCCCCTTCATATCTTAAAGCTTGTAGCACCCTATTACCCTACTAGAACAGTGCACTCTCTGAATGCAGGGCTACTTGTGGTTCCTATAGTCTCTAAAAGTAGAACAGGAGCCAGAGCCTTCAGTTACCAAGCTCCTCTCCTGTGGAACCAGCTTCCAGCTGTGGTTCGGAAGGCAGACACCCTTTCAACATTTAAGAGTAGGCTTTGATAAAGCTTATAGTTAGGGCTGGATCAGGTGAGTCCTGAACCATCCGTTAGTTATGCTGCTATAGACTTGGGATTTCCCATGATGCACTGAGCTCCTCTCATTCTCTCCCTCTCTTTCTGCACTCATTCATGTCCCATTAATGCATGTTACTAACTTCACTTCTTCCCTGGAGTTCTTGTGCTTTCTTGTCTCGCAGGTTCTCATGGATCCTGGTGGTGCTTCCTGCCATGGTCCTGCTTGTTGTTGGAAACTGTTTCGAAAATGGCAGGCACTTTCAAAAAATACTGGATGAACAATTAACCATTGTTATAAAATGTAGTTCAGGGATCTTCTTTGCTTTCAATACAGAAATACTCTTCAATTTTGGCATAACCGAGCTAACCTCTTTAGTAGCTGCCATTGTTGTTCTTGAATAAAAGGTGCTGCGGCACACTGCTAGTAGTTCTTCAAAGGACACTGATTGGTCCAAGCAACAGTAGTTCGGACACAAGTGCATACCTTGAAGCTTCGCAAGATGGATTCTTGCATTATCTTGTAGTTTTGTGATCTCCCTTGTCCAGCTACCTAGCAAGGCATCAAACTGTCTAACTTGAATACTACTCCTTCTAATAAGTTCTAACTAATAACATTTTAGGGTTAAATCTGCCAAATTCTGCAGCCACATGTATTAACCGATGTTTCAAGACAATTTTCCTTTTGAGTACAGTTGTGTACACAGATATGTAATCAGTATAAATGCATGAAAATTATCTGTGAATGGACGTCCATTGTGACTTCAGCCACAGTGGCTGTTATTGTGGTGATTTTCTCAACGGCTCCTTGTACAGTTGAAGTAATAATAGTGAGTAGCAACAGGGTCAACAGTGGAGGCCTTGCTATTGATTCGGTGTGAGACTTTGCTTAGAAAGAATGCAGCATCACGGCATCCACAAAAAAGGTTGTGCTATGTGACACAGTAAAATCAATGAAAGACTCAATATTATATACTGCAGTGTGGCAGAGGCGTTCCTCACACATCATGACAGAACAACACACAGCAGGTATCATGGGAATTAGTCACTGG